AGTAACATGAAGTTCTCTTTGAAGGAAATAATAGCAATATTATCCTATTATCCTGAAGAATAGATCTGCTTGTAAGGAAAATCTCTATCAATAAGATTTTCAAATTCATGAATGGATAACTAAAATGTGGTATATACTCACAATGGAATATTACTCAATCCTAAGAAACGATAGTGAACTAGCACCGTTTATGCTATCTTGGATTAAGCTTAAGCCTGTAATACAAAGCGAGACGACACAAGACCTGGAAAATGGGCTACACATCTACTTGCCATCAAATTGGTACTGACAAACTAAAACTACGGTGCTCAAAAAATTGTAGTGTTCAGCAGGGATCTGGGGGAGGAGACCCACATCTTAAGGATGTGATGAGCATTGTAGGAGGGAAAGGATTACCTCTATTCCTTTTTAGGGAGAGGCAAAGAAACACACTGTAACCAAAATGTCTAAAAAAAAAATTGTTAATGGGAGGTGAACAGGTGGAAAGGGGGAGAAGGGGAAGGGTACGCACTTTCATGGTGGGTGCAGGGCACACCACTTGGGAGACTGGACACGCTTGAAGCTCTGGCAGAGCGTGGGGGGGCAGGGGCAAGATATGTAACCCTAACAATATTTGCACCCACAAAATTCGAGATAAAAATAAATAAAATTAAAAAAAAAAGATTTTCAAACTTTGTTAGTGGACAACTAATGTAAAATATTTAATTCAACAAAGTATAATGCTTGCCAAGTAACAACCAAACAACCGGTTAATTGTTCCCCTTGGCTGATTAAGGTCTAACTTTTACCTTACTTGCATTATCTCATTCTGGTTATGAAGCAAGTCCAAACTCCATAATACAGTAACACAAATTCAGCGGAAAAAATACATGTCTCTGCTACATTCTACTTCCCCAAATATTGCCAACTTATCCTAGGCAACTATTTAAGCTATTTTTAGTAAGCCTGATGTATTTAGCAACAATTACCTTCAAGATATTTGGAAACTGCAGCCAATAAATTTATATAATCAATGATGAAAGAATTATGAGTTAAAATGAACTCAAACTGGAAAAACAACTTTATCATTGAAGTTCTATGGAAATTACAAATAAAGAGATCTGGCATAGCCCAGACACATTCATTTACTAGATAATGTAAGATTCTTTTTGGTTTAGGTCTTTAAAGTAATTGTTAGTCCAGGTGCTAAGAAAATATTGAGGTTTGTTCCACCCAATCCTTCCCTTACCTTTAAATAGCAATTCAAAGCACAACAAGCACCTTATCTAGTATTTGGTAAAGTACTATAGTTCAATGTCTATCTTCTACAATGATATTAACAGTCTTATCTTTAAACTTTCATCAGCTCAGGACACAGAACTCCAAAGGGAAGAGAATCATTCCTTCAGGTCTAGGATTTATCATTCTACCTTAGTCTAGAGAAAACATCTCATTACTACAATGAATTTTAATACAATAAACATGGGGTTTAATTCTGGACAAGCACATTCTGCATCAAATCTCTAATGGTTTTAACTAGTGCCCTTTGTTTTATTACATTTAGCAACAAAGAGGATTGGGGTACCTAGAAAATACTGGACTAATAAACCAGACCAAGCCAGATTAACTGACATGAATCACATACAACTTTCAAGTAAGAAATAATGTCTTTTATATCCTCTATGAAGCAACCAAGCGAAAAAATGCAGGTATGTGCATGGCCACTAGCTAAAATCCAGGACAAGATGATTTCAAAATCATATTCAAAGTTTAATGTTCTATTTCATTATCAAATTTTACTGTAAATTTGATCAAAACTGCAATCAAATTTAATGGAAATTTTTTGAACTTCTATAATCATACTCTAAAGTAAAGCAACAATACCACAGATATTATATAACAACAACAACAAAAAAACCTATAAAAAGCATCTTTAACAAGCAATAATGTTTTTTCCTCCATCTTCTCAGCCAGCTGAAAGACACAGTAGAATCTGCTTAGTTCCCTCCTACTTCCTCTCCCTGTTCCCTTCCCCCTCTACTTCAAAGAAAGTTAACTGCAGCCAGGCATGATCAGAAAACCTATAAGGAGGAAGTAGAAACTCATTTGTGTGCACAGGGAAGGGAAAAAACACTTAACAATACCATGGCATGTTGCTTCAGTGACCCAATATGCCTCCATTATATTTTCTATAAAATGCTGGTTCAATTTCTCTCCTCAGTCATTTTCTTTCCAAAATACTGAAAACTATAATCTATAATGGTTACACCCAGAATACCCAACTATGTTACCTAAGAAGCAGACAAGATCAACTAACTTAACACCTGCCATCTGATATTCGATACATTGAAATCATTCAGATAGGACAGGATTCAACCCAATGAACTACAAGTGAAAGGACTTGTATTAATCCTGAGTTATCTGTTTCCTAACCATTACTTTACAATATATTTATATGTTATCATTGTGATTTAATAAAACACAGGACTATGCAACTGTAAGTAAAGAAAACATGCTGACACAGAATAAAATGCTGAGAAGTCAAGGAGAAAGGTGGTCGATGGGAATTCTCACTGCAAAACATTTACTTAGATTAACAGCAAAGCATTATTTGAGGGGATTTAAAAAGTAAAATTTGTATACTCATCACTCTAGACTAAAGAATATATTAAAAAGACCATTTTTAAAGAAGAGATCCCCCTTCCCACATAAGAAAGTTTATAAACGATAACTAGCACACAGATTCAAAAGAAATTGCCTCATGAAATTCAAAGAAGTGAAAAAAATGGGGATACCAAATTAAAAGCTTGTTCAAGTGTCTTCAAACTCCCTTTGACTTACACTGAGTTACCCTAAGGTTGAGATAGGTCAAGGCACTATTTACAAAATCTATGCCAGTTAACAGCAGCCATGTTTAAAATGCCAAGAAATTTAATGTAGTGCTTAGACAAACTGGTTAGAAAAAAGCAACCCAGGACAAAGCCACTCTAATTACATACTCTTCTTCCTAGAATGTCTATATTTCACAAATTCATTTAAATAAGTAAATTTTAAAATAGACTGAGCCTTCTTAGGTCTCTGTAGTAAACTTAGATTCAAAATGCTAAAATGTCTATCATATTTACATACTAGAGAAAATATTTTTTTTACATTTTCAATCTGATTAAAACCCCTAAATAATGAAAATTAAAATGCATATAGAAAATCTGTTATAAAACATCACTTACTTCTAAAACTCTTAAGAAATTCTAAAATTAACATATGCTAGCTAGATCCTAAATCAAGTACTCATAGGTTAATTCTTTCTGATTTCTTAGAACTGAGAATTCACCCTTTTTGAGGGGAAACACAAATGGTTAAAATGTCAAGTCAGTCACTTCACCTCTGGAAAATATAGTATCCTTCCAGGCCAGAGGTCAACTTGCTTCTATACTCGCAGAGCAGTTTAAATAGCTTACTAACAGAGACAGTCATATTTTACCAGACCACATAACACTTTAGCTCTTATGCATTCATTTTTGATAGAAAGAAAAAATTACCGGAAAAACTTTTAAAAATGTTAGAAACCGCCCCTTCCACCAGCCCCGGGTTTGCATTTTCTTTCAATCTTTATAATTTTAAAAAACATGTAGTTTTAGGCCACCTGGCAAGCATTTACGTTTAAAAGTAATTTCTACATAACGATTTCACTTCTCTAAATCAAATCTAAGCTGAAACTTCCATGTGTTAATAATGCAAACACAGACTTAAAACATTAAGAATTGGAAGTTCCTTTGATTTCACCTATTCTAACTTCTTCTACGTGACTGTTAGAAATGAAACAAATGACACTAAGAGGTCTACAGTCAGCTCAATGGCACTCACAATTAAAAACAAAATGAAACCCAAGGGAAAGGCTCCAACACCTCCAATATTAAACTGGGATTTGCTATGAATTTTTAGCTATAAATATTATAAACAAAGAACAAAAGCTAACAGCACAAAAAATTAGGCCTTTAAAAGAAATAAAAATAACACGAAAAGACAAAAACACCTCGATGTAGACTTCAAAACAGAAAATAACATTTACACTAAAGGAAGTTTCATCTAATTTTGGTGGACCTAATAGAACTACTCTAATTCCCTAAGTATTATAATTCCATGCACAACAAATCACTGCTAATTAACACAAGCCCATTTCTTTCCCTGGAAACAATGGCTCTACATATTATTGTTTGAAAAACAGCAACTAGTCTGAAATGAAATAGGAGTGTTAACTTACTACTCCATTTGAAAGAAAAAGTTAAACTAATTCACTTATCCTCAATACAATTACTGTATTATTTTAAACATCTGAATAAAAAGAAACCTACCATTTATAGATTATATTCAATCTAAAGTCATAGAAAACAAACGTCTGTGAGTTTTTACTTATACTTTAAAAAATTAACTGATAACTTCACTATAAACTTTAAAAGCCATTTTCTTAATAGAGTTTCTCCACATAATTTAGATTTAAATGTATGGGAAAATGTTTTTCCAATTAAATATATTTGTATTTAAACTGCAACAATGAGGAACTGAAATTTATATATGGAATTATTCAATTAATGACAATCTAAAAGAAACTTCCCCTTAAAAAACAAGATGAACCATTATGCTAAACTAATATACATATAGTAAACTCTAATGTCATTTAATTACATTAATTGACCCAATTATTGACCTGCAGAGTTGGAGACAAATATAATTAATACTAACACCTAACCAGTTATTTTCTAACAATGAATATTTAGAGACTTTATTTTGGTGACATCAGTATTTCTAGTGACAGAATGCTGCCTGGCTCATAGCAGATTCTCAGTATATATTTGACTAAATAAATGAATAATTTATCCTACAATAAAAATCTATTAAATGCATTGGGTTCCTTGTATTAACTAGATGTTAGCTGAAACTTCATATTAAAAAAGAATTAATATCTGAATATCAATGAAGTTTAATGTGAACAGTTAACTTTTAGGTAATCTAAAATTTCTTACCTGGTAGGGCTGAAAGGCACTATCTTCAGTTAAAAAATCCACTTGTTTATCTACAAGGAATTCTACTGCAGTGATTGAACTGGGTATATTTTTTCCCACCAAGGGTTTGAAAGTCTGTCAAGAGAAAAAACAAAATAAATTTCTAATGGTTATTTTCTGGTTTGTATCCTCAAAATGTGAGAGGGTATATACATTGATATAATGTATTAGTGTCATTATCACAATGGTCTGAAGACACCAATTAATACCAGTTTTCATATTACAATCTAATGCTTTTATCCACACAATAGTATATTTTGTATTTATTAAAAAGGAATGACATGGATCTATATGATATATAAAATAATTCAGGTACATTAAGCCCCAGTTTATTTTTAAAAAGGGATATAATCAAATATGCATGTGTATAAAATTTCTGCTTAAGATAAAAAGAGAAATCACTTCTGAAAGATTGTAAACTGGGTTGGTGAGCATATTTACACTCTTCTTTTTTTAAAAAACTATAAGTATTCTTTATAATAGAGAGTAATTATTATTTCAACATACTATTTTTGCCTAACTCATTCACATTAAGCAGGATTTTAAATGTTCAGGAAGCATCTGGTCTTTTAACTCCACCCCTGTACTCCCTACCCTCCGCCCCTACACCAAGCACAAATAAAAATCCAGCAGCTTCAGTGAGAGCAGTATGGAGGAAGGGAATAGCTAGACGTTGGTAAGAAGCACTACACAAAACCTACCTCACGGTAAAGTTTCTCTCTATCTCCACTATGTTTTTTTTGTGTGTGTGTGAATCCAAGGTCATTTGATTTTTTTAAAAAGAAAACTCATTTTTTATGTACAGGATTTTACTCATATGCTGGGGTGGGAATGGAAGTGAGGGAAGGACAGGAAGAGGACTGAAGGAAATAGGAATACCATGTATACATTTTTTAGGGCACATTCACTTTCAAGTAGATGAAGCTTGAATAAAAACGAAGTGTCATATACATGGTAATGTTCTAAAAACATTTAATTGAAAACAAAATGTTGCCATCTTAAAATTTTAGTAACTTTACAATAAAAAAATCGAAGTTTGGAAATGGAATTAACAATCAACTCAGCTTCTAAATTACCTATATCACATGAAGAAATCTTTCTTGCTACAAGGCAACTTTGTGATTATTTGGATACAAAACAAAGCTTTTGGCACAGACAGTAAAAATCCCCAGGAGTTCCTAAACCATTGTGTTTCCCCCTTCTAAGACTTAAAACAAAATCTTGTTAATCAAAACTAATAAATATAATCTGGGGGAAAAACTTAAAGATCTTCAGTTTGGAGTGGCTCTTAAGTAGTTAATTTCTATATTTAAGAAATATCTAAAAAATAATTTAAGTTTTATTCACTGAAGTCTGTAACAGTGTTTTGAATAGCTAAAATTACATGAAAATAAATATTTTAAGCATGGTTCATTTCTACACTATCCATGAACTTATAAATAATCATCTTAATTTAAATAACATGAAAAAATTCTATCCCCACTTATTTTCAATATTTACGATGAGAAAATCTAATCACAGTAACATCCTCCCATGTCCTAGGCTAACCTTTTAAGTGCTACATATTTATCAAAAGTATTTTTATTTGGGTGAGAAATTATATTTTCAAAGTAGAAAAATATTTCCACATTATTTAGCTATCTCCTTCTAATGTCATCTAATATTTTCCATTTGCCAAGAAAAAATTCCTAAAACATCATTTCATAAAGTCCTATTCATTATTTTACTCAAAAAGTGACTGCAAGTTTGTAAGAAACCCAAGAACATCTATTTTAGACTTTAAAAATGTCCACTACTATGTGATCGACTGATAGGAAATATGTAACATAAAAAGAGAGATATTCAGGTAATCTCTACTATGAAAAAGTGTTTTTTCATATTATATCTGTCAGTTTAGTTTTTAGTAAACTAAAAAACACTGGCACGTTCTCAAGAGGACTTTTAATCCTATAACATTATCAAATGCTCTTTTTCTTTTCAAATAGTACCAAGTCAGGTCAATCCATGAAGGTTAACTAAAAAGGTCCACAAAAGGTATTATCTGAGTGGCTAAAGATACAATTCAATTAAGCAGGATTTGAAAAAGAAGTAAACTTCTCCTATCTTGAGTGCCTCTTTCTTACGCAAATAATACAGGTGGTTTGCATTTCCTATGAGACCAAATCATTTTATAATATGAAAAACATTCTTCTGAAGAGAGCCTCTTAGAACTCTCCTTTTCAAGGTAGGTCAGAGATCTAAGGGTAAATTTTAACAGGCCAGCATATAATTTAAATTACTCTGAGTTAATTAAGGAAAAAAGATTTCTAGGTTAAAATTTTTTTTATATTTCTCATATTTTAAGATGTCTAATCAAAAGCCAAGTAAAATTTGGCTACTGGAAATATAAAAGAGACTATCTTACAATGTTAAGTTCTCTTAAGAACAAGGATCTATTTCTGATACATGAATAGTTACAATTATCTGCAAATGTAGGACCAAAGCATATCATGCTTCTTAAATAACAAATAAAAACGGCTGATACTTTTATACTACTTGTTAAAGAAATGTTTCAATATGTATTAAATTGAGCAACTGAATATGTCACTGTTCCTTCTTTAAGAAAAAACTTAAAGGTAAATAAGACATGAAAAGATGTTTAAATACACCCTGATTTTTTAAAGTAGCAATCAACAATGTAACCATTGTTAAATTTTGTATCCATGTCTAACATATTTCAAAGAGACACTAGTTTAAGAATAAAATTATACATGTTTAAATAAAATCAAATGGATCCTACAGCTTTTATGATAAATATGTAAGTAAATATTTCATGGGTCTAGGTGCACTGGAATGTAAAGAAACTAGAACTCATGCATAACTAATTCAAGACTCTAAAGATACATCATTCTATGAGGAACTTCCACAGCCTAAGGGGAAGCAATGAGCCTACCATTTGATGAAAGTCACAGTATAATATGGCCCTAATCACAAAAGACTATTATTCAAATACTGAAAAAGCTTTTGAAAATCCAAATGAAAATTAACTTAAAATTGAATATTTAATTGAAACAAAACACTTTTCCAATTTTACTAATGGACCTTTTTTACAGGTAATTTGTCACTGTTAACCATAATTTAAAAATAGTCTAAAGCTAAAATAAGTATAGTTGAGAGCCTGCATTTCTAGTAGGGCCTACCAAGCTATAGGAAGAATGCTTAGAACAACTGTATCCTGTTTGGGGCTCCATGCTGCACCACATTCCATTCACATGAGGAAGAGGCGAACAGATGAGCCCTCCCGAAAAACATTTTTAAAATAAATCAGCTACAGCTCTCAAACACAACTCAGCTGCTCAAACAAACCATGTTAAAGCTCACTATTTAACATTTAACAGGAAATTCATGGAGCTTACGCCTGCCGTCTGAGTTTCTAACAATCTCCAGTTAACAGTTAACAATTCCTTTTTCAAGTTAAAAAAAAAAATCAGGCTCATTAACTACAAAAATACTGATATAAATCTCACCAAGGGTAAACACTGAAGCAAAAAACAATCTAAGCAACATTTAGAAGTCAAGGTTTAGTCTACCAAAAAAAAAAAAAAGACTGGAGTGACTTGAAAGAACAAAGTCCAAATTCCCACCCAAGCAGGTCTATTGAAAAACACGATACTGTTAGAAAACAAGTTGGGGGTGGGGAAGGGAATACACCACAAAATGAACCCCACAAAACAAATATCCCCACTTCCCTTGAAACATTATAGTCTAAAAATTCTAATTTGAAATACTACTTCAGTAATACTTTAAACAATAAAACTCTATTTTCAAATTAATCTTTTTAGAGTGTTATTAAATTACTACAAACACAATAAACCACTTTCTAAACAAAATAGTTAAAATTTCTTAAACTAGAACACTGAGACTAGATCTATAAAAGGCAGTGACCTTAATTCGTAAGGCTGAGAAGCAAAACCAAATGTAAATTAAGACAAAAGAAAAAGGAAGCAGAAAAATACAAACCGTACTTTGTTCTTGAGAATTTTAAAGTACCTTTAAATCTCAGAAATCCACAAGGCTTTAAAGGTCAATAAGTATAGCTGAAATTTCCACTTTGTTCTTGAGCAGTATTTTTTTTTTATCTAGCGTAAATACTTCTTTAGTCTTCCAAAATCACAGGCAAATGGCTCTCAAACCCAGCATTTCTGAGCTCACTTGCAGCGGCGTCATTGTATAGGAAGAAAAGCCAAGACCACAGAACGAAGCAGAAGCTGTAACCTAACAAGTCTCCGACGAGCAAATGACGATTTTCTGTCTGCTCTGGCTCAGCCCTGGCAGAGATGAGGATTACAACTCGCTCTTTGTCATCAGCACTGTGGTGTTAACGACTAAGAAATCCTGCAGCTGAAGCACTACTGCATCCTCCGATCTGGGTCAGGATAATTTCTCCCGAGGTCGCTTACATAACCAGTAAGATACTCCAAATAAAGAGAACAGCCATCCATCAGCTAGAGAAAGCCTTTCCCACTGTACTCTGTCTGCGTGGAAACACACTGCAGTAGCTTCCAACAGTGCAGACACCCAAATGAGAACGCGTACTTGGCTGAGGGCACACTGAGAGAAGGGAAGAGGCGGTGCTCTGTAAACTGTAACTAATCCCCCGTCACAGGTGCTGATGGAGTCACTTCCAGCACGAGTCACATTACTGGTGATTACTCATTTGGCTGCGGCCATAGAGACTGGCTCATAATTTTAACAACAGACAAAGACAGACTAGTGGCGAGACTGAGAGCTCAAGTTTACTGTCTCCTTCATAAAGCAAATGCAAATACAAAGTTTTGCTTTCCAGATTCACCAAGGTGAGAAAGTGCAGAAAAGAAATAATATGTAAATATCTCTCAAGTTAGCAAAAATAAAGCATAACTTTAAACTATCAAAAATACTTTCAGTGTTTTCCAAGGAAGATTTTTTTAGTTTAATCATTTCACCTTAAAATACAAAAAAAAAAAAAAAAAAACAACTCAGAAAAAAATCAATTTAAAATATTTTTGGTGTAACAGTCTAAGTGAAATCAAACAACACAGCCAACAACCTCAGGG